TGATTTATCTCCAACTTCCTGCACACTTTAATTGGTACCACTTTACAATAAGACTACCCTTATAAAAGGTTTACCAATAGTTTGTAATTCATTTATTAATTAGGTTGTGAACACTTTATAAATCATGAATAAGCTTTTTATAAGACATGAGATAAACAGGGCAACTGTGACCGGTTGCTTGCCAAATAGTGAGCCCACATTTATCTGTACTGCTAAGCCTTATATTGGCTACCTAGCTTACTTCGTCTTCTTCACCAGCCAGCATCCTTGGTATCTGTTGCTCACTGAGTTGATTCTCGCTAAGTAGCCAATATAAGGCTTAGTCATCTTGCCAAATAGTGAGCCTGTGTTGACGTATGAAAACTATGTTATAACTGGTTTATAAATGGTTCTTAATGATTAATAAAGTGTTTACAACCTAATTCATAACCTAATTATAAACCCTTTATGAATCCTTTATAAGGGTAGCCTTATTGTAAAGTGGTACCCTTTAATTAAGCTAAATGAAAATATATGTTTGGATAAAATGTGCCTAAATTCAAGTCAAACATGTGGATTTAATCACTAAATATTAAATACATTCTCACACATTTTTTTCTTTTTGAACTGAAAAACCTAAAAATGCAGGAAAAATGCTAGGCTCTTGGATGACACCTTTCTTTGAATGTTTAAAATGTAATACCATCAGGTGGTTCTCAGCCTAATTCTATTCCATACTTTTAAAACTGGTGACTAGGGATTTTGCATTACGCAAAGATTGGCCCAAAAAGTCATACTTTATTTGAAAATTGCCAGATTTAGGTATGAATTCCTACATGTAGTAATATAAAAAAGGCCATATATATTTTTATATATATCAATAGACTTCTCTACTGGGAAGTTTTTCATATAAAAACACAGATGCCACTCAAACAAACTCAGTCATCATTAATGTTAGTATGTTAAGTATGTCATTTTACTTCTATAACAAATAGCAGGTGTAATAAGGTTTATGTGCACCACACACTTTGGTTGGCGGACTTTTACCAGCAGCAGAAATGAGGTCAGGACAAATGAGTCTGAATTGATCCATCAGAGCAGGCCACAGTATTTTGAAGTGTAGGATTCACATTTCCTGCCACCAAACTGACCATTTTGGGCCAATTAAACCCATCAAACATCAATAACAGTGTCCGGAACACAACAAGAACATGTGATATTAGTTCTGGAAAACTGTGGTCTGCACAAAACTCAAAACACTTCACAAAGTCTTACAGTTTTACCTCATCTGTTGCACACCAGACACATTCTCTCACTAAATACCTGAAATTGCAGAGTCACCCAATTGTAAACTTATATTTTAGACCTTGTATTTTCAACCGTCTCTACCTCAGTGACCTTGAGCCAAAAATAATAATCAGACACCAGGGACAGTCCTTCAGTCTGCCCTTTGACCGCCTCGCAAAGCCAAATCTCTACGAAAATGTTCCCTTTGATTGAGCCCATGTCTTTACCTCTTTAAACAGGACTATGGTTGGCAATTCAAAGTATTAGTCTGAGATGATAACTAACAAAAGAGTTTCCATAGCAACGGTAAAAGTGATTCACAGAGCATGTCAGGCTGTGAAATAAATGTCACACCTCAGTGCACCACGGCCGCTGTTGTGAGATTTTACAAAAACAAAACAGTGATTGTAGCATGCTTCTATTTACAGCGTGTGTCCTTGATAGGCTCCAGTGATGACCGTGTGCTGCATTCACTCAATGGATGTTTGCTCAAACCACAACATACATGGTTTGTTAACAGGCTGTGAAATAAGATATTTGGATGTGAAGTGGTAGCAATTGTTGTTTTGATACATGGTTGTTTTTGAACACTGAGAGCACTCTTTTCCCTCACTCTTTCTTCCTCTCCTTTGCTACCTTCTTCCCATCAGTCTCACGCTGGTGCTCTGCTCATTAGTTTTCTGTCAGTCCTGGTTTTTGTCACCTTTTTCCCATTCTTTTACTTTGTATCCTGTGCTGCCATGCCGTTTCCCTTCTCTCCTACCTCTACTCTTTCTCCTTCGCCCTTCAATGCCCTCTTCCTTGTGTGAATTCAGCAACAATATTCTTCAGGGATCTCTTCCGTTTTTCATCACTCGGGCAGTTTTTCTTGCTTTTATTTATCACGCCTCGCAATCTGCAATCATTATGAACGTATGTTTTTTTTTTTTAAAGCAGGCTCTGAACCCACATTGCTGCAAAACATTAACTCTAATCGTGACTGCTGTACCCATACGAGTAAGTGAGGGAGCAAAAATAGACAACCGCAGAGAGCTATCGACTTCTCTGTGATGATCACACACACACACAGATGCTCAGAGTGCAGCAGAGAGAGAACATGAACACAATCACACATTACCGTCTCCTCACAGCCCTGAGCAAAGAGCAGGTGATAGAAAGAAAAGGGGAAATGAGGGTAAAACAGAGGGAGAGGCGGGAGTGAGAAGAAGAGATGGTGAGAGCTATGGTGACAGAGAAGGAACTTGAATCTTAAAGTGTAATGGCTTTCAAATAGGGCTGCTTCGTGACTTCAGCTTCACTTCCTTTGAAGGGAAGTCAAATCCTCCCATCTGTCCCCCAAACTCACTCACTGATCCTCATTTAATATGTCCTTCTGTTGGAGGAAAACACCCAGCACCAGTGTGAGGCTATTGTCTGTCCTTTCAAAATTGACCCATATACAGCACAGTATTTGCTTTTGTTTTCTCCTTGAGTCAAGCTTGTCCCTCTGGTTAAACTCACAGCATTAAGTCAGGGTGAGAAGAGCCGTTAAATACTTCCGTCTGAAAACATTTCTCAGGCCTAATCTGCTCCCAGGAATTACTGTTATATATGGCAGGCAATTCATCAGGTCAATCCCTTTATTTGAAAGAAACATCTATTTTATCCAGTGACAAAACAGTGTTTTGTCAATTCAGGTTGTCACCATTTAAAAAACGAAGCACTTATTATGGGCTGCAACACACTACAAATAATAAAAATAGCAACATTCTGGAATATTCAGCCACTTTAAGGGTTGAAATGACTCTACATTCAGGGAATACCGATTTCTACTCCCAGTTTAAGACAGTTAGAAAACAAAACAATCAGCAACGAAGGAAGGACACTGCTAACAGTAGAGTACTAGTGTAACATGCGATAAAACAATAAAGTTTGACTAATTACGTGCAATGCAGTCGTTGCTAGCTCCTGCAGTTTATGCTGACACCTTTTATTCACTCCCATCACCCTTTTGCGTCACCACACAAGTACATTTTGCTCGTGTGCTTATGCCGCATTAATGCTTTTTTAGTATGCGTTTCCTCACTAAAACTCACTATGAGTATTTTTTAGGCCTGACAAACTTGTTCATGAGTGATCTTCCTTATAAAACTTTTGTAAAGCTGAATCTTTATGGCGATAGATAACTAGTCCTTTTCCAAATTGTAATAATTGTCAGTTGACTTTATAATAAATATATAGACTGTTTTTCATCAGCATAACAAATTGTGGAAGCCAACTGATTGCTACATTTTCATTGGATTATTCACCGGAAAAGCTCCGTAATATTTATAATTTATGTGTTCTTTGAAAACATCAGTTCAAATGTGCATTAACATTAGTTGCACTTAGTCCTCTGCCTGCTTTCATTCAAATGATTAACAAAACCTGACCTTTCACACCGTTGCATTTACTGTAATTATATTCCATCTGTGTATTGAGCGTAAACTATACCTGTAATAACAAACTAAACTTTGAATAACAACCCATTTAGCAGGTGCTCTGAATGCGGCAGTGAGTGCATAATGAGTCATTATTTTCAATTCAGAGCTCGGGAGTCACCTACTCTAGTTTGATAGCAGCGTTCTCTTGTCTTACGGAGTCAAGGTCAAGCATGGCTAATGGCCAAAACATTGTCATTGTCACATTGACACAGTGGTGGTTAGCGCTGCAGCCAGCCGCTGAATAGCACTCCACGTCATGGAAGTCAACTGAGGGCTGTGGAGATGGAGTGGAAATGTAAAGTGCCACTATTACTGATTCCACTGTCAGAGAAGTCATTCAGAGATTACGCTCACTGTAGCAGTGCATTCAAATCATCGCAGGCATGCAAAGACTCCAGTAGCTTGAATAATACTGGCCAGAAGAGCTTTGTTTTGTGCTTCACTGCAGACAAAGGCCAGTCTTCTAGAATAAAAACATCTTCCAACTCTTGTAGTATAGAAGTTGGAAACAAAGTCTTGTACGTTTCATTAGCTTCCAATTTATTGAGGAAAACCCAAATATATTGTACTTTGTGCTTCATCCAAGTGCACATGTCAATTAAGTGACAAAGTGAACTCTAAAAGGTACCCCTCACAGCATTGAACCCCATTGAAAGACTGCTGCAGCTGAAAAGTTGTTATTTCATTACCATACTGATGACATTTTGAGGTTGGACTTTAGTATTTAGATATGACAGGTGAAGTTTTTCATCTGTGTCTCAGTACGCAAACACACAGACATCGCACACAATATGGAGGCTTTTTGAGTCAAATTCAGATCCGTATTCTCTGTGCACTACTGGACATCACTTGAAGGATCTGCTCTTCGGCCAGTTAAAGCAAAAAGGAAAAAAACTGCACATAGAGCCATCACATAATCACACCTGAATTGTCAATAAAGGGTTTTCTTTCAACCAAATTGTCTTTCTGTGAGTTTGAGGATGCTCCCCTACTCAAACACATCTCCCAAAAGAAACTGGGGGAAAGGCACACAAACCTCTTCGCAAATATATAAGCAAGCGCAGATGTAAAAGAGACAAACTTAAAAAATGTTTTAGTTACAAAATGCATGACCCCTCCCTAGAACACAACAGGATATGAAACGCAACTGCACATCCGCTTAAAATCCCAGCGTATGTTTTGCCAAAAATCAATACATTTTGGCAAGGATGTTTGACCTTAGTCTCATCTTAGTTCAAGAAACATTTAACCCTCATCAGTTTTGAATTGTACCTCTGTGAGTGCTTGGTGAATGAAACAGGCGGTGTCAGGAGACACCTCCCAAGGTGACTTTTCTTCCACCATGATGGCGTCCAGCGTGGCCTTCTCAAGGATGACATCAAAGGACGCTTCAGGAAAGGAGAGTTGGCGCACGTCCATCTGTTGCCAGGTCATTCCCGGGCAGTGGCTGTACCTGGCACCCATTGTACTGATGCACACAGAGGAGTAGTCTATGTTGGTGATGGAGCGGTAACCGGCACTGTACATGTCTCCACTCATACTGCTGTTTCCACAACCTGAAGGGAGAGCAAAGGGAATCATGTTGGGAGATAAGAGAAGGTCGTAGAGAAAGATGAGCATGATAGGTGAAGAAGAATAGAAAGAGGGAGAGAGACTGAAACCAATATGTCTCTGATGACTCAACTCCCTAATCTGTTTTCCAGTATGAGTTTATGATTGTGTTATCAATATGGCAACAAAATATTACTGAGGAGTAACTTCCTATCATGGAAACAAAGGCTGTTATGACGGGGATCGCCACCACACACACAGTCTTTCTTTGATCAAGCTGCCATTCAATCATGATGGAAACCACACACTCCAGACGACCATATGGGCGCTCGTGTAAAGTGTTTTCAGAGGGGAGCCGTCTAACATAACCTCAGACTGCACAAGATCTGTCACAAGCAACAAGCTTTCAACTTGTAGACTGTCACCGAGTGACGGATGGATGAAAGCCAGGGAGGGAAATGAAAGGGGACAAAAGAAAAAAGTGAAGATTGCCTTTAATGTAGCACGTCAAGATGAAAATAATCTACTGAATGCTGCATCTCACCTTTTGGATCAGATGACTCATAGATCGTGTAGATGTGAAGAGGAGGAGGAGGAGGTGTGGGTGGAGAAGACATGCAGAAGAAAAAGGGAAAGGTGCAGTAGGCGGAGGACGTGGGGGGGACATATACACTATCTGATGCACAGAAACAGTGTCAGTAAAGGTGAAGTTCATGAGTGTTAGCCGTGGAGATGATCATATAATCTTGCATTTATACAAGTCTGTGTGTCGGTGCCTCTGGGGGGAGGGGGGCGGGGGGGGGGGGGGGGGGGGGAAGAGGGTGTGAGAGGTGGGGCTGTGACTTCCACTGCAAACGTGTGGCTGCCGCTTGTTATCACCTTTATGCTTCAAACTAATTACCAGCCTCCAAATGCTGTGTAAGTGTGTGTGTGAACATGTGCACTAGATTGTAGGATCTATTCAGATAGCAGCCTCACACACTTAGCAACACATTCAGGTGTGTGTGTCTTTTGTAGAAACCTCTCATGTGTGTTGTACTCTTATAATGACTTAGTCTTGACGGGCATATACATACCTGGATACTGTGAAATGTTAATAGAGCGATAGCAATGCTGTGTGTGTGTGTGTGTGTGTGTGTGTGTGTGTGTGTGTGTGTGTGTGTGTGTGTGTGTGTGTGTCTTGATGGCTATCCCTGTGACGTTGGCTTCACATATAAGGAGGAAATATGTCAGCATTGCTTGTCACAGGGACATCATTGAATGCTTTCTTTATGGATGTCTGGAAGAAGACAGCATGTTTCAGGGTTGAATTACACAGGCTCAACAGGTTATTTTAGATTTGTCTATTTTAGAACATTACTTTAGGTGTGCCAAAAGCAAGCAACAGCTTTGGAAAACCCATGTTGCATGTAGAGAGGCTAGCATTCAAATGTTGAAGAATATTTCTAATAAAGAATCTGAGATATTATAAGAAATGATGGCATTACTCAATCCGTCCACAAATAATATTTAGTTAAAGGTTAAATTAAAAAGGTCTGTGGCCTTGTTTCATGCCCAGGTTTGGTGCTCTCCAGAGTGGGTTAAATCCCTGCTGCACTCCCCTCTCAAATCCCCAAGCATGCCAGACATTGTTTCCACAGGGTTTCCCCCCGCTGACACAGCTTTGTGTGTGTGTGTGTGTGTGTGTGTGTGTTTTCTTTTTCCATGCACTCGCTTCTGAAGAAGGGGTGTCACATGACAGGTCATTCCTAGGGGTTGTCACGACAATTATAGTCGCCAAACTGTCATCAAGGACACTATTCTTATTTTAGATTTGTGACATCAGCTGGTGCCCCCCGCAACCTCTGACCCACACACACAAACACACAAACGCTTACCAACTTTACCTGCACACACACACACACACACACACACACACACACACACACACACACACACACACACACACACCACACACACACACACACACACACACACACACACACACACACACACACACACACACACACACACACACACACACACACACACACACACACACACACACACACACACACACACACACACACACACACACACACACACACACACACACACACACACACACACACACACACACACGGAAGACGTGGTTTGATATTACATTACATTTAGCTGACGCTTTTATCCAAAGCGACTTACAATAAGTGCATTCGACCAAGAAGATACAAACTTGAAGAAAACAGATAATCATAATCATATAAGTACATTATGTTTCATAGAGCCACACCATTTCAAGTGATACTCAACAGGCTTTAGATAAGCCAGTCCTTTGTTAGTATATAAGTGCTTTGTTAGTATCTAAGTGCGATATGTAGTTATATGCGCATGTAAGGGCAGATCCTCCAGTGTATGTATCACGTGCGTTTATGTGACAAAGGTTTATTCAGGATACCATGCCAGTCTGGAGCCTGGAGTCTGTTGTTCCTCCAGCTGGAAGCCAGGAAGCTAAAAGCTCCTGATAACTCATCCTAACTGGATTATCCAGAGCGACACAGAGGCAGACTATAGTTAGAGCAGTCATATCACCTCGTTCTGCTGGCTGTGTGAGTGTGCATGTGATGGAAAATGTGAGTCCTGTTCCTATAAAGCATCCTACCCCTCATAACAAATCTGCAAAAATAAATTGTGGTGAACACCCCGTCATCTGCTTGTGACGTGTAAACTGCATTTGTTATTCATGTCTCTGTGTCTGTTTATACAGGGAATGATGCACATGCCACGTTGTTGTTATTTCTTTTTAAATCAGTCACTTGTGCAGAGAGGAATGTTGTCCAAACATGGAGGTTCCTTCCTGCAGACTTGGTGATGCTCAGCCCAACAATGGTATCCTGTTGCATGACTGACCTGAGAAACCCTTTGATATTCAAGAAAAACACTTGACACGTGAGTCTCACAGGAAAGAAAAGCTCAGAGTTAATCCACTGGAATAATGCGCCGTTTCTTTGCTGCTCCTACACGGTCGTCTTACCGTCTTATTAAAAATAAAAATATGAGCAGAATGTAGTTTCCTAAATTATACTGCTAAATTACAATTTCCCCACGAAAGGTTTATGTAGTTCAATCAATCAATCCATGAAATACATGTCATAAGAGAAGAAAACAGACATGATTTTATTGTAAACAGCAGAACTAATTCGATAAAAACCTGAGTTTCACAAGTGCGACTGTCATCTGCCGGTATTTTTGGACTTTTCCCACTAGGAAAACCTCGTCCAACACGTTGTTAAGCTAAATAATCAAGATAGCTGCCTACGTGGGTGCTCACATCATTTATAGCACAAGCATACAGGATAGTGTTTCAGCAGAGTGTCTATTGGTAAATGTAAACTCATAGCTACGCTTTGAAGATTACATCAAATATTTACATGAGTTTGTTTTCCATGTAGCGGTGCTGCTCATCAGAATGTCTAAATTATTTTGACGAAAGAAATTGTCCAAAACTACACAATCACATCTTAATTTGGGATGCAACCCCAGCCCCTCCTCACACCACAAATGTCAGCCAAGATTTAAGGTTCCTTTGCAGTAATTTTACTAGTTTAAAGTCACACTACTTGACTCTTACACAACCTAAACTGTTGGAGATCTGACCTTTGGGCGATCAGATGACCTCCGTCCACATAAACAGCAACTCTACAGAGTCCATCTATGGTCAGGAGGGGTGGTGGGTGGGGAACCCCTGCGATGGAGCCAGCGGTATGAAATATCAAAGCTGCTATCTGCGCAGCAGTGGAAACTCCATGATGTCAGAGGCATTCAGGGTACTCAGTCTTATCCGAGACTGGTGTAGACACATTAAGGATGAGGACTGGGGCCAGTGGTGATGAAAGCTGATGGTTGCATGTGCTCTAGCAACAACACGGAGGCCCACCACCCCCGCTCACTGAGTGTGGGCTAGCCCGAGGTAAACTGATGCCGCGGTGACCCTTCACAGGGTTCAGCTGCAAGTACTGTAAATGTCAACATGTGAAAAAAGAATAGTGAAGTGTTTGTGTTTGTGTGTGCATGCACATTAATCACAAGGCTACATGTAAGTGTATGTGCCTACGGTTGTATGAGTGGATGTTTGGACATGTCACTCAATAACATTTTACGAAAAAACATTACTTATATAACATATTCCAGTATTTTTTATTTCACATGTGTGTAGCAAGTCTTGGTGTGTGTGATTTTGACTGTGACTGGTCATGTCAGGTCATTGGGGGCCTGCACATGTGCCTGTGTTTGAGTGTGTACACTGTGACAATGATGAAAGTAGACACACTGGGTCTTTTTTTAACCAATTACCTCAGGTTATTTTCTCCCTTAGTAAGGGACCACTGTTTTTTGATTAATTAGTAATAAGAATTATTATGACAGGCATTTATTGACATTTACATGCAATTACAGACACACAACGAACGCACAGACTCGTCTTACATGTACAGTTGAGGCCTAAATTATTAGCCTCCCAGGAGTTATGGAACATTTTCCTAAAATTCTTCCCAATGTTTCCAGCATTGATAAAACTTGATATAATCAAACATTCACCAGTGCTATTTAGTAGCTTTTGGTACATTTTGGAACATAAAATAAGTTTTTAGGCTTGCTTTATATCAAATATAGTGAAAAATGGGTTGGTCAAAAATATTAGCCCCCAGGCCATTAATAGTCAATAGTGTACCCTTTCTGAGCCACAACTGACAACAACCTCTTATGGCGCATTTCCACCATGGCGCGGAGCGCGGTTTAAGCGTGCCGTGTCGTGCCGGGCCCGTTTTTGGTTGCGTTTCCACTATGCCTAGTTCCGGCCCGGGGCTACTTTTTCACCTTTTTTCTGGCCCGACAAAATCGTGGTTCTATCGGGGCCAACAAACAGGGCTGAGTCGGGCTGAGTTTGCTAAACTAGAGAGAGAATCGCTGGCAAGGGGGCTACAACTACAACAAGATGAACATATTTGACCGTGATTTAACTGTAATACAC